GAATAAATTTTTGTTCTGCTATCTATTTTATAAAATAGTGTTTTAAAAAAATTAGAATTTTAATGTACCGTTTTCGAATAACATATTATGAGGTTTAAAATTATTTCATAGAGCAAGAGTTATTTATTTTTATTTTTTTTGTAAATAGAGCAAGAGTTATTTAGCCACCCATTCTTAATGTATTGTATTGTAGTCGTTTATCATTCTGTATAATATACAAGACAAAGTGAAACGCGTAAAATATAAAATAAAATTTTTAATAAAAAAATCTAATTAATTTTAACGGTAATATAAATTACTAATTAAGCTTCAACTCTTTGAACTTCCTATGAGATTAATGGGTCATAGATAAAAACATTTTTTTTTTGAGTTAACTTAACCTTAATTATCTTTTTGAGGCGAGTTGACTCCTCTGATATCCCCACAAGCTTCGACTCTTTGAGCCGGATGAGCCTAATCTAGAGTGCGAGGTTGATTAGGGATGAAGATATTTAAATCCCTCCTAAAGGTAACATGTGAGAATCGAACCAAGACCCTTTTCTTTTCATTTTTTACGTAATTTGTTTGCTACCAACTGAGCTACTACTATTTGGTAGGGATAAAAATATTTAAACTCCTTCCAAAAATAATATACGAGAATCGAACCGAAATCTTTTACTTTTCACTTACTTAAATTCTTATTATCAACTAAACTATTACCATGTTGAGATATATAATAAAACTATTAATGTATCCTCACCCAACAGCTTAAGCTTTTGGGTTGAATTGGTTTGGTATCAGAGTCTCGGTGTACCGGGTTCAATCCTCACCGCCCCCCACTTTCTTTCTAGTGGAATTTCTTTCTTCGCACAGGTAAGTGGGCATATGCATTGTCCACCCTTCAAGCCCAGTGTCGTGTGAGGGGACGTGTTGAGATATATAAAACCATTAATGTCTCCTCACTCAACAGCTTAAGCTTTTGGGTTGAATTGATTCTTTAGATACCATTTGCTTAATATTATAGAGTTCTGGCACATTCTCTCGTACTAATAACTCTTGTACTTGTGCTTTAAAATACAAATGTTTTTTCTGGTATCTAATCATTATTTAATTGAGGTAGGATCCTTTTGTCACATGCTTACAAATTAGAGTCGTTGACCTTTTTTTGATCTAATAACTATAAGATGAAATATCAAATTTCAAATTTGACACTGATATCAAAAGATTCTACCTCTATTTAAATCGAAGAAAACAATGGATAAAATTGATATCTTCTAAAGATTTTTAATTGCTTCCTCTGACGCGTCCCATTTTCAGGACGGTTGCAACAATTCATTGGGAATTGTGTCTTGTAATACACAGAGAAAGAATGCAATAATGAAGGTATTTGAGCATCCTAAAGTGATAAGATAAGTGCATATTGTGCTAAAAACAACCCAAGCAGTTTTGAACGCCATAAGGCTGCGGCCACTAAATGTTAAGTACCAAAGGGTGTTTTACTTTTTGTTTTGATCACTCATCATTGGTACGTGCCCTTTGCTTAATGAATTCTGACCATTTGTTTCAGCTTTTGCTATGTAAGTGGTGTGGTGGTGCTGGCATGTTTGGTAGCATGACGAGTCATATCCAGGGCGTATGATTTGTCACTTCAAGCTTCAATCTTTGATCCTAGATTGATCATGGTCTTCTAGTATTCTTCCACGTTAACTATAACAAAGGAGGAAGTATGGCCAAAAGCAAACAAAAGAAATAAGGAAAAGCTGTAATAATTGGATGATAGTGACATTGCTTTGAGATTCGTAGCCACTCCGTGGGTGCAAGGTGCATGTTGTTTTGATGTATTGTTCAATGGAATGTAAAATCATACCTCTTTTTATTGTTAGGAAAATATATAACTTGCACATACGTTATTTTCATAAACCACTCACAAATCTTAATCTTAATGTTATTTCTTTCTTAAATGATGCATATAAGTCTACCTTAAAATCTATAAAGAAAAATTGATGAGAAAAAAAATGTTTTAATGGATTATGTTTAATCTGCTTTAACATTCATCCATACTTTTAGACTCTTACTACTATCTGTTCATTTGTCTCCATTGCATATATATAGACTTGGATTTACATGGGTTTTATTTTATTGGGTTAAAGATTAACAAAAGTTCAACTTAACAATTGTTTTATAATTCTCACAAATAAATATATATGATTTTGTGGTGCAATATGCAAACTATCTAAGTTTCTCGTCACTCTCTTCAAATCTTAAGAAATTTTATATATATATATATATATATATATATATATATATATATATATATATATATTGAAAAATCAAATAAACTCGTTAACTTAATTATAAAAGTATTAATTTGCTGATTCACTCCTCGAGTGTAATTCCCTGATTCACGAGAATAGATTAGATTCTTATTCGTTTTTCATATTGAAAAACGAATAAGACGGTATCCGGGAAATAAGCATCGGCTAACTCATATTCATGCATTTACAATTCATGTGACGGTATTGATACTTTTTCCTTGATCAAAGCAGATCAGCTCGCCGCCGCGCTCTACCACTGAGCTAATAGCCCGTCGTGCGAAGGGAAAACACTGGCCAATTTCACACTTTCCGAAATCCAGAGGTTAAGCGTACTCTGGCAACTTTACGTAAGGCGAGTTTGGTTTTGATTTTCCTACCCCCAGAGGGAAGGGGAGGCTCATTACTTCAACTAGTCCCCATGTTCTTCGAATGGATCTCTTAGTTGTTGGGAGGGTTGCCCAAAAGCAGTATATAAGGCATACCCAGTAAAACTTACCAGTAAACCAGATATAGAGATGGCAACTAACTCAACGCCATTCTTCTTAAACAACTTGGAGTCGCCTGGACAATTAGACATCCAACCTGTAATCGCAACGACCCTCGCCCCTTTCATTCTGGGGTGACGGCAGGATCGTACCATTCGAGTCAGGCGCTACGACGCTGAAGTAACCCATGCCATACTCCCAGGAAAAGCTCGAACGACCGTATGCTTTGGAAGAAGCTTGTACAGTTTGGGGAGGGGTTTTTCAAACGATCTCCGAAAGCGTTTTCCTTCCCCCGCCGCATCTCACTCCCTTCGTGGGTGGGTTGATAACCCACAGCGGAAGGCATGCGACCAACCTTTCGAACTGCTACTGAATCCACGGGCAGACAAGAGACAACCATCCCGAAGTAATTGACGAATCAAAATTGTCTCCGCCACTGCAATGGCAGTTATTAATTTTTTATAACGTATTCCATTTTTCTTTATCATCCTATATTCTAAATTTAATAGGATAAACCTATTTGTTTGTACAATCATTTAGCTAGTTCATCTCTTATTTCCTCTATGAATTGTTTGGGTTTGCGTAGAGTCACTCATGTATTTCTCAAGAAGTGAAGTATATCAATTTAGAAGTACTCTTTAAAGCAATGGTTGAGACAAAGACTTAATTTAAGTTTTCCATGTGCAATAGGCAAGTATATGACAATGAAATGTGTGTAAATGACTTTGGTGACTCTATATTTTAGTAAAGTAACATATCATAAAAATGAATAGAATTCAATATGCCCCTTTTAATGTGAGAAGGGGATATTTCGAGATCGAGGATAAGTCTTTCTCAAACATAGGAGAGAGAATCCTAAAAGCTCTAATACTTAGTCAAACCTAATCTCCGAGACAAAATATGTTGCATCAACTATCAGTGTACAGTGAATAAACCTTTATGACTCATTATGAAATGTCTTCTAGAAAGTTCTAGATGTGAGCTATTAATATTGAGCCAACTTGTTGTGTCTAAAAGAACTGAACAAAACACTATATATTCAGCTTGCTTAAATTATTATTATTATTCTTCTTTTACAAAAAATTATCTAAATTTGTGTGTTTAAATAAGAATATCCCCCCAAAATAAGTATAAGCCAAAGCAATTATAGCTTCAGATAATTTATGGAGCGCCAAGATGTGAATGAAAGTGCATCCTAAAGTGGCCAAATAATTGGATACTAGGACTAGAAATAGCCAAACAATTTTCAACACCCTAAGAACGAAGCCAATCTATTAGCCGTGAGAATGATTATGCTCTCTTTTTTAGGTTTTGGTATTTTGCAGGGGCTGACCTAGGCCTACCATTTGTTGAACCCATTGGGAAAAGTTGAAAAAAAAAAAAACCATCCGTTCTCTTTCTTTAGTAATTACATTAATTATTTTAAAAATATAATTTTTGGGTCAAATTTTATATTTATGTTTTTGGGCCACAGCATATAAAACTTTAAACAAGAAGAATAAGGTTGATGCATTTTAAAAAACATACATCTCCCCCATTATATGAACTTACCTCCAATCCAACCACAATTACAAGGTATAAAGTGGATGCACGATGGGACCATTGCGTCATTACATATCAGACCACGATGATAAGATAAAGCTCATTTTCCCCTCTTGAGAGGTAAAAGATTTGGCCCATGTTCTGTTATTGCATGAAATTGTGCTGTGAAATGGACAAAAAATATAAATGTAACTTTATCATATCATAGTTATTAGCCATCAATTATACATGTAGCTTTCGTGGGTGTACAAATTGCATAAAGCAATAGGGAGTAATCTTTTCAAATTGCTTATCCATTAGTTAAAACATGCTTTCATTTCCAGTAATATAAACTCTGAAACTTCAATTTTGTGGCTGATAAATTGTCATTTCTCTTAAAGGATGAGTTTTATGGGTTCGACAACAGAAAAAACTAAGCAAACCTGGGATGGAGAACGTGAAAATTTACCAACCTTACCTGATGATAGGTTGGCTTTTTGGTTGATAATTTCTAAAGTGCTCTTAAAAGAGGGAGTTCAATGGGAAAAAAGATGGTGTACACGTGGTGCACAATCGTAGAAGACATCCAATATATATATATATATATATAAGCTAGCAAGGTTAGTTCAAACACTCATTCCGCACAAAAGGCCTTCCCCAAAGACATCACTAGCTAACAAATTAAACGCCTCTATCTCCAAAATGTTATCATTTTCAGATCATGAGTTGGTTTTGATCTTTGGTCTCCTAGGTATTCATTTGATTTATAGTACTATTCTCATTCCAACCACCATTTTATTTTCTAACTTGGGTGTCATGAAAAATATTTTAGTTACTCTTTCTATTTTTTTTATTCCAATGGGTCTGGCAAAAAGGTAACTTTTTCAATGTCATAATAGTAGCTTTCAATTTTTATTTTATTTTATTTTGGTTCTTCCCTAATGCTCTCTGTTTTCTTCTTGTCTGCAGGTAACATTGTATCATTTATGGTGTTCTTAGCGCCCTTGTAAGTCCTGCACAAAACAAAATAATATTATATTTTGGTATGAATATCACTATACCTTGAAATGCTAGAAAATTTTAATCTTTCTCTCTTGTCTCTTTGCAGACCAACCTTCTATACAATTTTCAAGAACAAATCATCAGAAGGGTTTCAGTCAATCCCATATGTGGTTGCACTTCTCAGCGCATTGTTACTACTATATTATGGTTTCCTAAAGGCACATGCCATTTTGATTATCACCATCAACTCCATTGGATGTGTTATAGAAGTTGCATACCTATTAATGTACATTACATATGCTCCAAAGAAGCAGAAGGTAAAACAAAGATGTCAATTTTTCCTTCTGAACTTTCTTCTCTCTTCCTTCTCCATTTTTCTCAAGATATGATGTGTTTAATAAATATTTTGATGGATTGCAGGTTTCCACTTTGGCAATGATTCTCATTGCCGATGTAGGAGGTTTTGGCTTGACCATGATAATCACCACCTTCGTTGTGAAGGGCTCCGCGCGTGTTCATGCTGTTGGATGGGTTTGCGCCATTTTTAACATTGCAGTGTTTGCTGCTCCATTAAGCATCATGGTACTTTCTTATTCATACGGGGATGGTTATTTTTACAAACTTTTTGTTTATAAACTCTTATAAATTACATTATAACTGGCCGGTAATACTATAGTTTATAAGTTTGTAAAAAAAAAGTTTGTCAATATAACTCTACTCTATTCATATAGGTCTTGCATAACAAGCAATCTGCATGTTGACCATCTTGATTAATTAGCATCTTCTTACATATATGAATGAATTAAGGTGTAAATTTCCAACATTAAATGCAGAGGAAGGTCATAAAAACCAAAAGTGTAGAGTTCATGCCATTTCCTTTGTCCTTGTTTCTTACCCTCTGCGCCACCATGTGGTTTTTCTACGGATTCTTCGACAAGGATCACTTCATTATGGTGAGGAATAACATATATATATGTATCTATTAATCATGCTATTAATTTTCTCTTGTATATATGCTTGAAAGAAAACTGATGAGTCTGTTGTTTTGAGCCATTTTCAGCTGCCAAATGTGCTAGGATTTCTGTTTGGCTTCTCTCAAATGATTTTATACATCATATACAAGAAAGCTAAGAAGAATTCAGAAACAAATGGTACAGAGCAGCAAGAATGGGGAGTCACAGTGAACTCTACACAGCATATCTGCAATGGCAATAGACTAGATTTCCCTTCAGTGGTGGAAATGAAAGAGGATCAAGTTTGATGTTGATAAGGAACTAAGAGGTCCTGCGTTGATGGAGGACTACATATAGACTTAGGATGAATGCTGAATATTAATGAATAATTATATATCTAGTTATAGTCTTGTATTAATAGGGAGTATTGCCACTTGGCATGTATTGACTATGTAATAGACTAATGACTACGTTTATGATTAAAGTAACAACCAGTATATGGTTTGGTTCTAATTGAAATTCCAGCGGGTCAAGTTCTGCATGTTTAAAGCAACACTTTAGAAGTGTAGCACCGATACGACACGCGACACGACACGACACTCCGACACATCAATCTTAAAAAATTATGGATTTCGACATGTTGGACACGTTTTAATATTAAATAATATTTTTAATATATATAGTGTATATTTCATTTAATATTTAATAATTTAACAAAAAAATGAAACTAAATTAATAATACCCATTAACACGTTATAAAGATGGAAGCTTTAATAAAAAAAATAAGAACTGAGATGAGAGAGAGATATAATATCAGATAGAGAGATCAAATCATATTAGAGAGAGATCAGATACAACAAGAGCGTAATAGGAATTGACAACAATGATGCAGAGAGAAAAAAAATAAAATTGATATGATCAGGTGGAAGCTTTATTAATATATTTTAACTTTAAAAAAAAAATTACAAAAATGTCATTTGACCGTGTCGGACACGGTCAAATTCGCGTGTCGGAATGGTCAACGTGTCGGAAAAAGTCAACCGCGTGTCCGACACCGTGTCGGAGCGTGTTGCCGTGTCGGACCCGACTCTTCCTGTTTTTACAAGTGTCTGTGCTTCCTTGAGTATAAGAGGGAGAAGGGAAGAAAGGGGTAGAAGAGAGAGAGATAAAAAAAAAACCTTCATGGCTTTTCTGTTATGCGCCCCAGACTATATATAATGAATGTCATTTACAATTGAATTAGATAATTATGTTAAAATACTATGATAAGAAAACTATAGTAAGATAATTTGAAATGTAGATAATGCAAGTAATTTGAATTCTAGAACTGAAATGTTAAGATAAACTAAATAGAATTAATTTATCTTGTTGTGAATAAGCCGAACAAGTGATCACTCAAATGGGTGGGTATTTTAGTGATCTTTTTCTCCCTAGGCCCATTAGGAGTGGGTGGGTTTGAATGTTGGGCCGCAACATTACTTCCCCTAGACAATCAGCTTGACTCCTCAACGGTTGTTGGTTTGGACGGTGGTGTCGTCCTGCACACGTGGCAACAACAAGATGTGCGATGATGTTATGGATCTTGGAGGAAGGTGGAAGCTTAAGGCGGTAATCCACGGATGTAGGGGTGTTCGCGATCTGGATTGGATCAGTTTTGGAAGCAAAAACTATTCGATCCAATTCCTTCGGTTTGATCATATAATCATCCATTCGATTTTTATTTTTTTTCAAATTCGATCCGATCCAATCCAATTTTTTTCGGTTTGGATTGGATCGGTTTTTGATTTTTTAAAAATCCTAAAATTTATTTCATGATTATTGTGCAAATAACATCTTTTGTATATATTGATTTTGTAAAAAAAAATTTGAAATACAAAAGCATTAGTAAACTATAATATAATTTTTTTAATTTTGGCAATGAGATATGAAGCTCTACAAAGATAAAATTTTGTTGATGAGATATGACTAGATTTTTTTTTGGGTTTAATTGATGGGTTAATGGGTCTTGGGTTCAGAAATTTTTAGGTTATGATTAGGAAAATACCCAAGTAGGTAGAGGAAAATTAATATATTGGATCGGTTTTCATCAACCCATCCAAAAACCGATCAATTCAATTAAAATTTGCGATTTTTAATCGCTTTTTGATTTTTCGATTTTCGATTTATTCAGTTATCGATTTTTCGGTTCGGTCACCACAGTTTGAATCGGTTGATGAACACCCCTAATTGAACCCATACTCTCGAACACTTCGAATGAGATACGTGGCATCGTAGGAAAAATAGGGTTTGGCTAGCGATGATGAAGTGATCGTGTTAATGTATTATTTTATCTGTTTGTTTGTGTTTGTGGTTAAAATGATAAAATCAACATAGCATATATAAATAAAGGGTTTTATAAGAGTTATGTTGTAGGAAAAGTGATTGTGTAATGTTATAGAGATTTGTTTTGCGTGCTTTAATTTTTTATTTATTTTTTTGTTTTAAAAAGTGTGGGCCCCACAAAATGTTGTGAGTATAGAAAAGTTTGTTGTGTTATGTTAAAAGATAAAACGAAAACCCATAAATAAATTCTTGTGTACGTCTCCATATTTTCATGTGAACCACTTGTAAAGTTTAATAAGGAGTGCAAAATGTACCTGTGATTGTGATTGTGAGTAGTGAAATTTCTTGTCTCAAGTTGGTTGGTGATTTTGCCTCCTCTTCTCGATTTTTTTTTTTCAGTAGCTCCAAGTACGCCAGAGTCAACAACCATTATGTACCCTGCTACCCTTTTCAAATCCCCTTTTATAACTTCCCAAAAAAAAAAAAAAAAAACATACAGAGGTAAGATTCTTTAATATTATTTTTAAATTTAAAATTTGACACTTCATTTGATAGTCGTTAAATAAAAAAAAAATTAATAGTGTCACATGCTTACAAATCATAGTCGTTGATCTTTTTTTGATCTAACAGCTCTCAAATAAAATTTCAAATTTAACAGTTATGTCAAATGATTTTACCTCATATATATATATATATATATATTAATGTTCTTCAAGAATGGTTGTTATCATATTTTCATTGGGGTGTTTGGTACGAGTATTTTGTTTGGAATGATAGGAAAGTGAGGTGGAGAATATTTTTTGATCATGTTGGGTATGAGAAAACTCAAAAAGTCTAAGCAAAATTATTTCTCCATCATTCTCATTTGTAACTACACACTTCAAAAAAAAAATCCGACTCCAGCCATAGTAATGTTTTTTTCCTGTGAACTCATAATCTTATTTTAACTTTTTTAGACAAAAATGTCCGGTTGTTTTATATAAGTTCAGAATCTCATTTCAAAATAATGGATACTTTAATAATTTCAGTTCATATTTTTATCAATATTTTAAAATTATCCAAACATAGCATATAACATCAGTAAAAATAACTTAATTGTTTTGGAAAAAATTTGACTTACCAAACACCTTTACATAATTTACCCGAGAACAAAAATTTCCCGCCATATTCCCGAAAATGTTTTTTTCCTGCTAAAAAAAAATTTCTCAAAAAACAAATGCCCGTCCGTTTCTGTTTCAATTCGTGGTTCCTTCACCATTTTTCAATTTTGCATTGTCCAATTTTATTGTGATGGCTATATCCATCCTTATTCAGAGTTCCATTGCAGCTGTCATGCCATTTTGATGCTTATTTCTTCAACCCATATTCTGTACACTTTAATGACTCTATTAGTCTTTTCATTTTTCTTAATGAGTTCTCTCCTGCATACTGTCTTCGACAGAGACAAAATTTGACTGGGAAAGAGTTGTCACCATAAATTTTGGTATCTACACTTCCTGTTAGTCAAAATAAAAACAGACGAAAGGAGAGAAATATAATAACAAAATAATGGCAAACAAGATTTGTCTAAACTAGAGTAGCTTAAAGTTTAATAATATTAATGCATCAAACCTCTTATAGGAATTTATTTTATTTTTACATCAGTGGGGACAAAACAGTCCTTCTATTCTAGATCCCCAAGAGAGTTGGTCATTGAAAGTAAGTTATGGTTGCAAATTTCAAGTTTCCACCTATGATTTATGATATGATGTTGACAAATCCCTGCTCCTTGTCATAATATTGTAAAGTATGATTATACATTGGTAAACGAAGATAATTGCTTACACGAAAAAAATTATCAAAAAAGAATTGCGAGATAATTTTTTTCATATATGAGAGCTTAATGGATTTCTAACTGCACAAACACAACAATCTAAACCCTGTAAGATCTAAGGACCAATACCATGCAACAAGGGAGACACTCGCAATAAAGGCTTCAATGTGCTTGGATGAAACTTCCTTGCAAAAAGGAAACATATGTTCGTAGTGTTCCCATTATAAACACATGTTGATCCATTACGAATTTGGTTCAAAAACTCATATGTAATATCACCTCGCCCATATCTTCGAGGATGAGGACCACCCCTTGACCAATCCACCCAAGTGAGGCTGCGATTAGAGTTCAATTCAGGGTACATCATATGCACAAAAGTTGCGAAATAATGCTCATCCCCATAGCATGGTGGAAGACAGTAATGTCTAAATATAGAGTAGTATTTGGTGTCAGATACAATGTGAATGGCTAGCTCACGATCCACTTCAAACCATTGAGACCCTTTTCTCCAATCGGTTATGTTAATTACAGGCCTCATTTTTGGATTGTATCTTCCTCTGCCAGCTTTTGTTGGGTCATCAAATGAGCCTAAGAAGCTAAGGCTTGAGTTCATGATATAGCCATATATGGTTTTGAAACCAAATAAGGGGATGCAGGCTTCTGAGAGCAGCACAAAACGTTGATTGGATAAGTCCATGAGTGCATTTGATAGAAGACGTTTTTCAGCATCTATCATTGATGATGTACCCCAAAACACTGGCTGCCATGGACAGAAAAGATTGATTGATTCATAATAATTCATCTATTGACAAAATGTGCTTATGATGGGATTGAAGAGAATTCAAGATAAGCATTAATAGCAAGCTAACCTGGCTAGGAACTTTTCTTCCATAGAATACAGAATCTTTAGGCAGAGTTTCATTGAAAGAAGGATGTTGGTGCAAGTAAATGGAATAAAAACCTTCATGGCCTTTGAAGAAGTTCTCCCACAAGGGTGCCAGGGGCAGTGCACCTTTTGCCAAAAACATGAAAGCCACTTTTGGAATGGCTTTGTTAGGGAAATCTTGAATTCCTGATTCCATAGATGCTTTGAGGAACAACTCTTGGTCTGTCATGTTGTGCATGAGAGATGTCCTTAATTCAGTACTGTTAGAGTTGGACTTTGTGATCAGTGATGAAGATGAAAATGTTAATGGGGGTGGTGGTGGAAGCAATGTTGTGAGTGGAGTCATCACAGGATATAGAAAAGCTTGTAAATTTAAAGATAGGCTATTATAGCATAAAGTTGCAACTATTCCTAGTGAAATACCAATAATAAAGAAGATCAAGTGATAAACACGGTTTATGTTCCCATATAAGTTACCAATGAATGGCTTAGAAACTAGCTGAGATGGATTATGCTCCATATGCTAATTATCAATAGACGCACAAAATGACAGAGCAAGAGATGGACAACAAGATTCTTCATTCAAAACTCAAAAGTCATGTATGAACACTTCTGAGTTTGAACTCAAGTTGTTGTATGTAGCTTTCATTCTCAGATTGCGTAGTGCATTGCACCTTTCACCTCCTTCTGTATTAGTTCTTGATGAAATTAGCAATTTGTAGCTATAAATAATTTGAGGCCTTAATTGAAGTATACCTTTATACTTATAAAATAATAGTAACGAGTTTTAAATGTAAAAGTACACCAAAACATGTAATTGAGGTGTGACTTTCACATCAAGCAGAATAATTGGTTTGTTTCTTCCGGATATTCATGATTTTTTTTCGCACAATTAAGGAAGTGGTTTTCTGCGTTGAAGCATTGCGTGAACAAAGTTTCAAGAAAAAGGAGCTCAACGAGATTTGCCATGTGGTAGCTCCTCTAATTACGGTCATTATTAGTCTCATGATATTATTATTTTTCATATTTTATTTTTCATATTTAGCGTTACACGCTTTTCTTCTATGACAGTGTTGACGTAATATATTTTTTTAGACAAAAGCTGTAAAGAATGTAATTACGATATATAAAAGGGTATTTCTCTAATATTTTTAAGTTATATCATTTCACTCCTTTATAATTATGAGCTCCATAAAGCATATAGTTATAGGAAAAAGTGTGTGTTATTTTAAGTGACAGAAATTGTATCATTTTATAGACACAAAGAGATATGAGTCCCACTGAAAAAAAATGTAGATCTCATCTTTTTGTGTCTATAAAATAATACAACTTATGTCATTTTAATGACACACACTTTTTTTTATAATTATAATATTAAATTATTATTTTTTCCATTTTTTTCACTTTCCAAATAGTTGACAGTTTCTGAAGAAAATATATATATAACTTTAATATTATAACTATGTACTTCTTGGAGTATATATTTTAAGGAGGTAAACGAGTATAACTTAGTTCTTTTATTTTAAAAGGATAAACTATTTCCCATATCTATATGGCCAAATAAAAAATGGAGGCTTCATTTTTTCAATCTTTCATTTTCTCCCCATTGCTTTGTTCAAAATATTTAGATAGCTTGGTCAAATAATAATAAATGAACAAGTGAATATTTCATGCATGAGTATTTTAATTTTTGGTAAAAGTTAAAAAACTATAAATAAAAATAAAAATATTTAAAAGGATTAAAATTATAATGAATGTATGTAGGCTTTTTCACCCTTTTGCCCCTTATTAATTAATTAATAATCATTTTGCCCCTGATTCAAAACTATTTATCAATCTGCCCCTCTTTAGTCGACTACCTTGAATTTTTAATCGACTAAATGGTCAAAACAGACCAAAAATGGCCGCTGGGAGATTTAGTCGACTAAATCTCCCTATTTAGTCGACTAAATCTTCATATTTGACAAAAAAAAAATAAGTCAGTATGATTTTAATCGATTAAGTAGGGAGATTTAGTCGATTAAATCTCCCAACAACCGTTTAGTCGATTAAAAATGCAAGGTAGTCGACTAAAGAGGGGCAGATTGATAAATAGTTTCGAATCAGAGGCAAAATAGTTATTAATTAATTAATAAGGGGAAAAAGGGTGAAAAAGCCTATGTAGGTGTATAATTAATTCATGTAAAATTAAAAAAATATATAAAAAATAAGTTATAAAAAATATATGCATAATTATTCAATAGTACATAAATTTAAAATTGAAAAACATAGATGACATACCATTCTTTAAGGAAGAAAAAAATAAATGATAAGTCACCATAATTAGGGCTTTTTCACCTTTTTACCCCTTATTAATTAATTAATAACCATTTTGCCCCTGATTCGAAACTATTTATCAATCTGCCCCTCTTTAGTCGACTACCTTGCATTTTTAATCGACTAAATGACCAAAACAGACAAAAAATGGCTGCTGGGAGATTTAGTCGACTAAATCTCCCTATTTAGTCGACTAAATCTTCATATTTTACAAAAAAAAAATAAGTCAGTATGATTTTAATCGATTAAGTAGAGAGATTTAGTCGATTAAATCTCCCAACAACCGTTTAGTCGATTAAAAATGCAAGGTAGTCGATTAAACAGGGGCAGATTGGTAGATAATTTCGAATCAGGGGCAAAATGGTTATTAATTAATTAATAAGGGGCAAAAGGGTGAAAAAGCCCCATAATTAGGATAGTGTATTCTTATTTTTTTTAATATAGAAAAAATAGTGACTATTTTGATAATATAAACAGCTGATATTTAAGAAAGGAAAAAAAAATATTTCAACGTAAAAAGATTAAGGAATTAATAATTTAATTTTTAAAAAAATCATGTGTCATAAAAGAAATAGAATATGTATTATATCTTTTACCTAATTTTATTATAATGAAAAAGATTTTCAACCGCAAGATTCCCTAATCAAGAAACCATAGCTCTTGCACCAAACACGTAAACATAGGCAACCAGTTGCTTTTGCACCCTTCAACTAGCACCTTGCATGCTTTCACTTAGATGTTTTGCACCCTTACTGTCCTCATGCCACTTGAGGTAGCTCAACTTATTCATGTTGATGGACATTCAAGGAGGTTATAGTTTTTTTTTTGGAAATATCATATTGATACATCGTTTTGTGACTAGTCCGATTCGGAACGGGATCAGAATCAAAGCTTTAGATTCCTCTCACAGATAATACTGAAAAAAATCGAATATATACTCTTACCCTTACCTACTCAGCTCTAAGGTGTTGTAATTGTCAAGCGGGTTACCGCGTCAGTTTTTTAAAATATAATAATATATTGATGTTGAACATTTGATCATCTTCTTATTATTAGTCCTCCTATGTAATAACTAATAAAGAAAAAAACCTTTTAGTTTATCTTTGATCTCACAATGACGCTTTGAATTTTTTGTTAGTAATAATAGAACATCAGTTTTAATAATAAATGCAAATTCCTATTGTTGATAAAAAAAATCATGTAATTCCTAGAAGCATGATTTAGGCTTTATTGGAGTACTTTTGACTCCTCTTGTAGTATGTCTTGGTTTATTAAAAGACTATCACTATCAATTCAAAAAATCAACCCAAACAATTTTGAAAAAAATGGTTTGGTAAGACTCAACCATTAAGGATTTCGATTCGTGAGTCTATACATTCTTCATGAACCCAATTAGCCACACATAGACCTGATTTACTATCTAACCAGAGACTTTTTTATTTTTTTGGTAATCTATCGAACCATAGACTTTAGGGCCGTTTGTTTAGTAACTTTTCAAGCTATTTTTTTTAAATTAAAAATATATATAAACAAAGGGGTTTGATTTTCTCATGTTGAATGAAAATCTAATTCTCATGTTGTAGAGATAAAAAGCATATGAGACTCATGTGTTAGAAAAAATTATATGTGGGACCCATGTCAGCACGAAAATCGAAAGGTGTGTAGAAAAATTTGAATTCTCATGTTGAATGTGAATTATAAAATCCATAAACAAATTTTAAGGTCTTTTCTTAAAAAAGAAAAAACACTAAAAATTGTGTTTTCCTCAAAAGTTAAAAATTGTAACTTAAAAAAAATAAAAATAAAAAAGTCATACTATAAATAGGGGATAGTTGTATTAGCTACCTATTTAATCTTCCTCCCTTTACTATCTTTTTTTTATCACCATTGGTTATATTTAAATCAATGGTGTCAAATATAATAATATTTTTTATTTTATTTATCTCTCCCTTATTTTTCTCAATTAATTACACTAATTGTTTATCACCATTGATTATATTAAATCAACAACGATAAAAAAGTAATAAGAATAAGAAAATTAAATAGATAGACAATATAACCGTCCATTGTATTTTCTCTCTCTCTAAACTTACTCTGAACATCGAGTTTTTGTTTTTCATGTGAACTAATTAATATTTCTTTTTGGTATTAATTATGCACAAAATATTATTTATGTAAAATTACGCTATAAATAATCGCGTTTTCTATTACACCTATTTATTTACACAAGAATTTTTGTTTGTAATTTGTTTGTTAATTCTGTTAAGCTTAGCTATCATTGATAATAGCCAGATTAGTTACGTGTCACTTTCATTTAGTTAGAATGGAATACGTGTCCTTTTCTTTTCTTTCTTTTCCTTGGTGTATATATATATACACTGATGTACAGAGTTTCAAGTTAAGTTGAATGATTCAGTTTCCAGTAATATGAAATTCTCTCGATTCTTCCATTCTGTTAAAAACCTTAGGATAAGTAATATGAATTTAAATAATTGCGTTTTCACTCATCCAAATCCAAGCGTTTGTTGATTCCATCTGGATAAGTACACAAATAGTGCAAAAATTATGCGTATAAGTTAAATTATTCTAGATTCTTATAAGTTTACTAAATTTTTAAATAAATCTGCACAATTTAAATGTTTTTAACAATATCCTTATATTTCAAATAAACTTCTTAGTCATACATATGCATCCTTATAATTTTTTTAAATTAACAGAGATATAATTGAAAACTTAATTGAACTAAAGAGACTTATTTCAAACGTTTTATAAGTATAAGAACCCCATTAAAATAATTTAAATTATAAGAATCTATTTAAAAATTCAATAACACTGTAAAGGTTCACAGTTTAATTTCATAAGAAATACGACCAGATGCATTTCTGAACGATGTTAAGTTGCAAGACAAAGAGCACGTTCTATTTCTTCCAATGAGCGACCCTTTGTTTCCACAACATTACCAGCTATGTACAAGACAGCAACAAAACAAACAGTTGAGAACCCCAAGTATACGATGCTGATCCCAAACTTGTTTACCACACTCAAGAAATAGAGCCCAATAACAAAGTTGGAGATCTAATAAGAAAAAACAAACAAATCCACATTTCATCATTAGTATAATTTTCACGCCACCAACAAAATCAGTGTAGCAATACATGTGCAAGTATAAATCATTCCAATAGGTCTAAGAAACTTTATAGTCACAATATTTGGGGAGGAACTAGTACCAAAGTATAATCTTAGGAATGTTTCTTCAATTATATTAGTTAGAAAATAGGAGTAGGCACAAACAAAATTGTGTGGTTGAGTTTGGTATGGCTTCTCTATTGTGACTTCCTTTTTTTATCCTCATCTTTTTTTTTTAGATATTATTCATCGATTATTCGACTAGTTCGATTCGAGTTTGGTAGGATCATATGAGCGATAAAACTCTCCCTATTAAGTTTTAACAAAGCTGCATTTTCAGTGATTCGAACTTCAGACCACTGATTGAGCTGAAACAACCCCTTACTAGTTGATCCACATACTTGGTAGTTCCCCTCATTTTTAAGAAGCACCAATTTTGGTGCTTGGTGAGTTTATAGCCATGCAGCTACTCTTCTAAAAGGCCAAGGTTTTAGTTTTGTTTTAGCCTCTCAGCTTTAGAGTTTCAAAATTTACAGCAAGATAAAGGCAGGAATTACAGGTGATATTAGATTCCACAGTGAAGTCACTTACCCAATGTGTGCCTAATGACAAAGAAATTGCTTTTGCTCTTATTCTAGATGGAAATATCTCTGGTAGAAGAAGGGAAGGTACAGGACCAGCACCAAGAGAGAAGGATAAGACATAGCTGTTCAAAATTCATAGACCAGAGTCAAAAAGAGAAATGAAAAACAAACAACACAAGGTAGCTTTTCAGTGAATGGAATTACTTTTTAGTGACAAAATTAAATGACTTACAGGATAGTCCCAAGGACTGCTAGGGTGCCAGAGTATGGTGCAAGGACATTCCAAGTAAAAGACAGAGAAAGAAGCAACATAGAAGCAGCCTGGAAAAGACAGAAAAATACTTGGAATTTTATACTTCGAATTTACAATAAGATGAATAGGTTATACTACACAAGAAAGGAAATTAAGCTGTTGGGATTAAGATTTGTTTTGATTGAACCAAACAGGAAAAAAAAAAAATAGAAAGATATCATTACATCCACAAGGGCAGGGTTTTGAATTAGTTTAAGGCACTCAATTAAGAAAACTAAGAATAAGTTTGTTTATACAAACCAGCCAAATTCTTCTCTAACGTGTAAGCATAAAATAATAATTAAACATCATAATGCTTGAAAGTAACCTTATTGATAAAGAACATGAACTTCCTTTCCTTCCTTCAAAAATTAATTTAAAAAAAAATAAATCAGCATTCAGAAAAAAGGTGAAAAGAGATGGACGTGAATAAATTTTTTACAAAAATAGTGGTTCCCTGTTTAGGCTTTTCAAAATTGTCTTGTATTATTTCCACATATTTATCTTTCCCATTTTTTAACACTGCATAATAGTATCTGCAAAACCTTCCAATACCAAGTAGTGGCCAGATAAGGTTATAACCATAATCTCTTAATGCACCTCATACCCATTTTTTTATTCTCTTCATCACCCCTCATAGGTAATAAAACCAACAAAAATCAGCAAACATTAAAAGCTTAACAAGAACTTATATTTACAATCAATCATCACATGGAGAAATACAAACTAAAGGCTCAAACACTTCAATTTAGGCCTTAAGACAGATGTGGGTTGAAAATAATTATTACCATTCCACTGAAGCTTGCAATAAGGAGACTTTTCCTTCCTTGTCTATCCATCAAGGAGGAAGCAACAATAGTTCCTGCAACAAAATCAAACATCAGTCAGAACAATATCATGTTTGTGAAAATTGCACAATAACCAACTTTTAGAATGAAAATACTAACCAAAAACATTTGATGCACCAACCAGGGAACTTGCTGCAACATCGGAAGCAATTCCAGCACTGCGGAAAACAGAAGTTGAATAATATACCACAGCATTTATTCCAGCCAACTGCTGGAACAAAAAAAGTGCTGCCCCAACACTGACAACTGCAACATAGAATATTTTAGAGAATTACTACACATTTCACTAATCATTAATCAACTCCAAAGCAAACTAAAAAGAAGTTGAGTAGTGAAACTAAAGCACAAACTGTGATGAAATTATTAAGATATATCTCTAAATAAACATACATCAGGCAAAAAAAAAAAAATAAGGCGTCAACAAATTCAAAATGTAAAAGGGAGTTTCATGCATGGGGTATCATATATCACTAAGCTTTGGCTTTTAAGGTTGAAACAATAAAATTAACTTCTATGAATCACCATTCCCGATGATTATCGCAATGATTAAGTTATTTATGTTGGGCCCTCCTTTACATGAACATTCTTCAAATAAGAAAATAAATAAAGTAATTATGGCCAAACCTTCAAAAGCTGCAGGTTAGTGCTTATAGTAACAAGCACGTAAACTTAGCTGATGAAGGCATAATTAATAGCAGTTCTTTGCTGCAGAAATTATGCTTAAGTACACTAGAAAAACTTCGTCCATTGTTAATCAACCCTGGAAATAGTATTAACTATAATTTTGGAATACCTTTCCAATATCGGCTACTAAATAGATCAAACCATCCTGCTTCAGGTTCAGAAGAACCTCGACTTGCTGCTGTCAAGTCACGCATAACCAAAGCAACTCTTTCTTTTCCATACAGTGTTTTAATAGCCTTTTGAGCTTCGGAGACTTTCCCTTGCTGTAAAATAATAATTTAATTTTGTCAGAAAACCTACGGGAAAATTATTGCAATTGCACTAAACTTTTAATGGTATACTGAAAAGAAAACTAGACAGCATATACGTATATATGTCTGTTCTGTTGGATTAAGATTACAGAACATGACTACCATAACTCTACAATTTCTGCTTTACTAGTATCTTTAGAGATTTAAAACATAACATAAGCTCTTTTCTTTAAAAAAGATTAGTTTATTTGCAATGTAGTCACCATAGGAAACTATAGTCCAACGGATAGGAATATGAAATAAATATTTAACAGAAAGTCATTGATGTGCCTAAAACACTAATTTTTTATAAGAAAAGAAACTTAAAGAAGTAGTAAGTTTTGCACTGCTTGTTCTGCAACAATTGGATTCCTTGTCATGTAAATGTATTGTTTCCATAACAAAAGACAGCAAAGTATTACAGGACAACCTGAAAAAGCCACCGGGGACTTTCTGGAGAAATTGCCATTCCAAGTGCTAACAGAAGGGATGGAATTACAGTGATTCCAAACATTGTCCGCCACCTGATAACATTAAATGAAGAAGAGGATACAAGTTAAGAAACGTACATTCCCAAGGCAAATTACAGGAGACCTACAATGTATTTAGAATGGTAAACGAATTTTTTCAAGGTTTTTACCACCTCTAGTACAACTACAGCAAACCAAATTATAAGAAATAGGGGTTTGCTACTTCTAGAAGAGCATATTCTTTTGCCACTTCATTTATTTATCATTCATGAAAGACACATATCTCCACTTTCTTTCTCATGGAAATATGGAATGATAGTAATAGGAGTTTTTTTACTTCAACACTTTTTACACTGGATATATTCATTTCCATCTGAAACATACATGCTCTCTAAGATGGAATTTGTCCGCGGAAGACATTTACAGCTGACAAGATGGTAAGATCAAGATGAAACAACTCAATAGTCCATACCATATAGGATTTCCTGCCAGAGGCAAACCAGCCACAAGTGCTGCAAGAATCCCAATGCATATAAAGAGTTGATTAACAGATCCAAGTGCACCACGAATTTCAGTTGGAGAAATCTGTCCATCAGAAGGAGTCACCATGTGGTCCATATAAAATATGAAAACATGATGGCAAAGGTTAAAATAATCTATAAAGGCACCACCTCAGATATGTAAAGTGGTACAATAGCAGATGTAACACCAATTCCTATACCAGCAAGCAAGCGACCAATAATCATTGTATGAACACTCTGGGCTATAGCACTGCAAATGTATTATAGTTTAAAGCATCAGATTTCAAAAATACATAAAAGATCAAACCTTGTACTCAAGAACAATTGACAGACCAAAGAAATCCTCCAATTGCTAGAGGGATTGCATCAAACTGAAAAGTCCTAGTTCGGCCAAATTTGTCAGCCAATGCTCCACCAGTAAATGAACCAACAGTAGCACCCGCAAGTAGCGTGCTGACAATCCATCCTGTTCATGGATTTAACACTCATGAAAACCACGAGAAAACAATTCATAGGGCATATTTAAGTGAAACTAGAATTTTGAGAAACAAAGTTTAATGATCACAGAAATAAAGATTTCTGACAAACAGGCCATAAGTAATAAATAAATTCACTTAAACTCCATGCCATAAAACTGAAGTTCTTTCTGTTTAATATCAAGGTAACAATAACAAGGACAAGATCTACATTTACATGTATGCTGAAAATTTTCCTTGTTGAACACTACAAAATAAAAAATATAAGAGCTAATTTACAATTTCTTTGCCAATAAAACCAACCGATCATTTCAAACTAATTTGTAACTACAATCTACAAATAAACAAAAATGTACCTTGTAGTACAGTGTTTTCGGTGATTCCAAGATCCTTAGCAACGTACTCAAGACCACCATTAACCACCCTAAATTAAAAAGGGCATTGTCATATTTTCACACCTAATAATCAATGAAAATCAGTTGTACAACAAGGAAAATTCAACAAAAGACTCCATGTGTCTTGCAGCCAATAACTTAAGACATCAAGAAGTGGCTTATGTCATTCACATAAATTAGATGGAAGTATAAAGAAAATGATATGCTGCATTATAAGTCCATTGATCTTCATATAAATGAAGATGAAATCCATACCCAAGATGATAGCCAAATAAAATGGCTCCAAGGCAAGCAACACCAACATAGGGAAGAACAGTTCCAGAAGGTTTGCCCGGAGTATTAGTTAGCTCGGTTTCCATAATGGCTGAACCAGGCCTCAAACCGCAACAACTGGTTCTACTTGTCACTCAGATTCTTCTGGGTCTCACAGCACTCTGAGTTGTAACAATTCACCAAAACCCAACAACACCCTTTGTTTCTGAACTCGTCAAAGTGGTTTCTTAAACGCCAGAAGTTGACACCTTTGAATGAAAATTCCAATTCCCAAGTAGTCAAAAGACTCAAAACCCATAAAATATTGGAGAAAATAAAAAATCGCCATACCAATGAGCCAAAAACAGAACGTGCGGGTACGAAATGCAGCAACCGACCAGACCGTGAATTGAATCTAGGACACTGCTAATAACATAGGAATTTCCCGCAGTCAAAGGTAAAAAAAAAAAAAGTAACAACCGGTGAAGGGTGTGTGCTTAGCTTATTGCGAGCAAGTAAACATTTATTCGTTTAATATTTTAGTGGATTAAAATAATAATATATTTGAAATTGAATAAAAAAATTAATATATTCTTACTTACTTTTAAAATAAAATTATTTTAAAAGAGAAGTGTTAACCTTGCTAGATATATCTTTCTTCTTGGGAGTTTACCGGAGCTATTTGGTAGATGATAAAAAAAAATTATCAAGGAAAATACAATTACTAAAAATTTGATGGAAAAATGAGTTTGATAATAAAGTTGAAAAAAAATTATTTGGTTGACCGAAATTTCACCAAGAAAATTGAATTAAATTTACTAAGTTTATGTTTGGTTAGAAGTAAAAAATTGATTAAAAAATAACTTCAAATTACAAAAATAATCCTTGTAGCAAACACTGTTGCCTAATAGCAGAGGGTATTTTTGGTAGCGAAATGGTCATCTTTCTTCTATTAGCTTAGGCAATTTGAAATACCACATTACAAGAGATATTTTTCAACAGTGTTCTTTTTCAATTTTTCATACAAATATAAACGGCTGGGCAAAACAGATGCATAGCTAAATTTTTCAAAAATTTCAATCAAACAAGAAAATCCAAAAAAGACACACTTAGATACATGGCTAACTTCTAGAAAAACCCAAACCAAACCCCGCTTAAAGAGAATATCAAATACGAGAAAGTTGGGGAGTGAAGGAATTCAATTTCCTTTTTCCTTAGCATTTTTGTTAATTTAAAAAATATTGGAATTCTTGGTTTTATTCTCCGCAAATATTAGAGCTTAGAAAATTCGGAACAATTAGATTTGAGAATATTATGAAAACAAAATGTGGAAATAACGTTGGATTTTGGATTAGATTTGCAGTTGTTGCGACTACATGTTGGCCACGTGAACAGGTGGTCGTGCTGGTAGACTCTGACGTAACCAGAATCAAACCCTATTAATTTTCTTCATGTTAACATGCAACAAAAGATCAAAACTCGCCTTCTCCCTAATAACTCAGTTTAAACGAGCTTAAAGGCTGAAGTTGTAACTGTTAATTAAAAAATTAATGGAATAAATTTTAACAACTTCTTAATTTATTATGCATATTTTTTTATATTATTATAATCTCAACCGTTAATTTGTAATAATTATAGTTCTAAAGTCTATCTTTCACTTTAAAGGAGCTAAATTTTCAAATTTTATGAATTGCTGTGAATTTTTATATTATTATTTAATAATATGTCAATAGATTATTAAAACAGTTAGTGTGTTTAGATTTATTTTGTAAATTTAATGTTACTTGAACTTAATTATGTTTATTAATAAGTTTGCAAGAAATGACTAGCTACTTTCTTTTTTTAAATGAAATTAGAGTTACTAGTTTATATATATGTCATGCATTGCACATATAGAGTTACTACTTGCTAGTTTATTATTATACGAATGTTTTCTCTCTCCCTTATCTCTTTTCCATCCTTTTACTTTATTTTCTTTTAGTAAATTTCTATCCTTTTATTTGTATGCATGGTTTTGGTGATTGGAATCATTTGCTTAAACGTATAAGGTCAACATTAATACCTCTCTGTAAGAGATCAACGTCTTGGCTGGCCCAATTAGGTAGGGACATGGCTTTTCATAGTCTCGTAACATTTTTTACCCTAGGCCATAGTTTAGCCTAATTTTGAGTCAATGGATTGAGCCCATTTATAAGTGTTTCTCTCGTTTTTCTTAAAAAAATAATAAGAAGAAGAAGAATAAGGTGGCGGCGCCCCTTTAATCCAGTGAAATAACTATTTTTGAGGGAGGAGATAATTATTAGGATTACTAGTTTATTATTATTAAAAAATACGATTATATAATAATAATTATTAGGATTAATAGTTTATTATTATTAAAAATATAATTATATAATAATAATAATAAACATTAAAGTTTAGGGAGGGGCGACAGCCAACCCTCGCCCCTCCCTAAGTCTGCCTCTATTGAGTGGTATTTAGGCTGAGGTGTTGTTCGCGAGATAAGTGATTCTTTGGCGAGATGATCTTCGAGATGGTTGAACTGGTTACGATGCTTTTGAGTAGTTTGAGGAGACTTGGGAGTGCCGCAAAATATTCTGGTACTTAAGTCAATAAGGATTCAATGTACTCAAGTTTTTATGGGAATATGATCATATATATTTGGGCTTAATTCCTCCGTATTTATAATGGGTGAGTGCTTTGCTTAAACCACCTCATTATGGCGATGCTCATTCTTATCAGTGGAGAATAATAGCTTTCACTATGTGGGTGAGATGTTTATAGTAAGGCTAAGCCTTTGTAGATGATGTAGCATGCATGCAGATGCCTGTCATTTAGTCATTGATTCGTATAGGGTCATGATGCTATGAGAAAATGATGTCTCGCATAATCTAATTATCTGAGCAACTAATCATGTATGTCAAGAGGTTGCAAAATCTTTACGATACACGGGATAATTGTGTTTTCTTCTTTACTAAGCATTAATGGTCTTTTGGGCTCATTGGGTTGCTTTCTAGTTGGACCTACTATCTTTCATAAGTATGATCCAAATCAACGATTTACAGAAGGGGTAAGTAGTATGGTTGCTGGGTTTAATTTGGGGGTGTTTATAATGAAACTTTGAGGTGAGAAGAATTCTACATTCATCGAGAATTTAAAAGTTGAGATTCTAGAGTAAGATTGATTAGTATAGTTAAATTGTAATCTAAACCCACTATGTCAAGTATCGTCTTTATTTCTCACTCATGACTGAGTTCGTGCCCATTACCGACAACTTCTTGAACTATATCATTTATTAAAATAACTTGAAGAAGTACCCCTAATTTTCTATGATTGTTCACCAAATTAAGCTTCTTAACAAGCGAATATATTTGCATAATCCAACTTGAAACTTGTAGATAATGCTTTGATTTTGTACTCTTTAGGCCTTATATACCCACGTGAATTCCCATTTTGAATTGAATGTGTTTTTCTGTCACCTTGATCTATTAAATAAAATTAGTGTCTAGCCTACGCCTTCACGTTAATTACTTGTCCTTTTGCATGCAATGTCTCTAAAGCCGTCCATTTGTCTTTGTGTAAATTAAAGCTAGTAATTTGTATATTACTTGAGGATTTTAACTTGCTGACTTGTACAAAAATTAAGTGCCTAAGCCTTTGCGTCACAAATCATCGCGCATATGAAGACATGTATAAATATACTTTTTTCATGACTTAGTCTTCAGTTATATATAGCTGTTGTTAGTCGAAACTAAATACTTAGATAGGATCATTTGACTTAAACTTGAAACTTAAGTCATTATTATACTTACTGTTTAGGATAAGTTTGATTTAATGCTCATGTGTTATAAGTATTTATTGACCAAGTAACACGCATCAACTTCAATTTATTAATTGTTAGAAAAGTGATTTTAAATTGATTGAGAGAGAATTTGTGTTAGAGAAATCGCTTCAACAATACACACAGCTCTATGAAATATACACAAGAAATTGAAACATGTAATAACACAAGATTAAAGCACACTGTACAAAAACATATGAATGTAACAAGGGAAAATTCGAGTCCAATGATAGACACTATGTCCTTAAGACAATTTTGCTCTCTCTATAGTTTTTATGATTCGTGGATAATTGTCTCACAGTATAAAACGAATTATCTCTGTTTGTTGATGGCACTCTCAAACAAATAGCACTAGCAGACATAACCTTCCTTTGAACTATCCCACATAATGAATGCAAAAGATTTCAAAAATTATTTTGGCAGAGTTTTGATATAAGAGAGAAATCATAAAAGTTCACACATTTATTCTGATTTTCTTCCATATTTATAAAGCATTAGTGGCCATGATAAATAGTGCCTATTGGCTACAAAGAGTTGTGCATGTTCGATGGTGAAGAGTCATATTTTTTCACCAGTAAATAATTATATATGTTTAATAGTGAAGAGATATATCTTTTCACACCCAACTTCTTATTTATAACATTTGAATTAGGTAAGAATTTCAATATTATAAATTAAATAAACTTTATTGTTGAATTTTTTAAATTTCATTTCCTCGTAAAGCACAAGTCGGTAGGTGAGGTTTGGCCACATGGAGCAGCTTAAAAAGGCCCTAAAAATGACTTGATGTTTAACTTCGTGATGATTAGTAATTTAACAAAAATAGTGAAACATAGCAATGATGTTAATGACTTCACTAGGTGGGAACTTGAGAAGATAATTATATAATGCAATCATTGATGGGCTCTTATTCTTTTCACTGGGTTGTGTAACATCATTGCCATTTGCTTTTGTACAATATTTCCCCCCACCTAAAAGTTTTCACTTAGTAATTACCTTAACCAATTATATCCAAGTTTGGTACAAAAGATATTTTTTTTTACCAAGAAAAAAAGATTTCTAAGAATATAGTGGGAAACATTTTTGCTCAAGTAAATTACAAAAAAATGTTTGGTAGACCAAAATTTTACCGAGAAAGTTGGGTTAATTTACTGATGTTATGTTTGGTTTGTGATAAAATATTGATATGATTATGAGTAAAATGACAAATATACCCTTTAATTTTGAATCTTGAATATCTTCTCTGACATGAAAAACGTTCATTTTAGGACACCCGTTTCTTTCTATCCTAACAATTTCTTCACCTCTCTTCCTTTATATGTTCAGTGTAGTGATAAGTTAGGACTAAGTATAGAACTGGGTTCTTTTGATGCTAGAGTGAT